ATAGTAATTTACTTTGTAGCACATGTAAGCTTTTCCTTAATAAAATGATAGGCAAGATCGCCAAAAAAAAAAAAAAATTTACTAGCCAACTAAATGAAACCAGATTTATTATTTTAATAGAATATAAGAAAGATATTTACTAAAATTAATACAAAAAGACTAACTTATATCTTTAATAGATATTTTATTCTCTATCTATATAATTATATAGCTCTTTTTAATATCTCAACTACTTTACTTATAACTACAATAATAAATATCATAGAGAATATTCAAATACTAGACAAAGAATTATAACTACTTAGCTAGGATATGTTTAAAGTATATAATTCTGTTTATATTCTCATATTAAAGAAAACTCTTCATTAACTCAAAATCCCTATAGCTACTATAAATCTAATAACTAATATTTTTACTAACTAGTCAAATACTATTATCATATATCTAGATCTAACAGAATTATATATAATACATAATAAAATAAACCAAAACAAAATATTCTCTTAAGCTCCACCGGTGATGGTATGTACCGCAGTTGTTTTATCACTTGACTAAAATTCTGTCCAGATTATAATTAATATGACCGTTTTATCTTTTATTGAAATAATTTTGTCTAATTTGATCTGTAGTGAAGTTAGCAGATTTCGGAGTTTCTGGGCAGGTCAATATCGATATGATTTGACCCTTTCGATAATATGATTTATTTAAACATATAGTTTAACGTTTCTGAATATTAATTGCAGATTACAGCAACTATAACGAAAAAGAATACTTTCGTTGGAACACCTGTAAGATATTAATCTTAATTGTGACTTTTAACTTTATTTTGATAAGCTCAATAATTTATATTTTAATATCGGCTGCGATAGTTTTGGATGGCACCTGAAGTCATTAAACAATCGGGATATGATTATAAAGTAGGCATTTATTACATTTTAGATGATATATATGTTTATATATGTTTGCGATTATTGACTTTTTTTTTTTTTTTAAAGGCAGATATCTGGTCTTTGGGTATAACTGCTATCGAGCTTGCTAAAGGTGAACCTCCTTATTCGGATCTTCATCCGATGAAAGTTCTCTTTCTTATCCCAAAAAATCCACCACCTTCCCTGGAGGGAATATATTCTAGATCATTCAAGGAATTTATTTCACAATGCTTGGACAAAGATCCAATCAGAGTATGTCGGATGCATTAATATATTTATACACATATCCTACAATTGATATTAGTGTCTATAGTTAAATTCATGCCTTGTTGTTCCCCTTAAAAATTAGCGCCCATCGGCAAAAGAACTACTTAAGCACAAATTTATTAGGAATGCAAAGAAGACGTCATATTTGACAGAATTAATTGAACGACATCAAAGGTGGTTGATGGAAGGGGGTGGACAGCATGATTCAGACGATTCAGATCACTCCGAGAATGGGTAATTGTAATTTAATTTATTTTTTATTTTTATTTAAATCCCTATGGCTAATTATGTTTGATCGCTTAGTGGCGAGGATGGAGAAGATACGGGCTGGGAGTTTCCAAGACCAACTTCACCATCATCGGACGATGATGGTGAAGGTTCGGAAGACAATGCAACGATTGGGCCAGCAAAAGGAAAACATGCGATGGTAATAATAATTATTTTTATCGAATTCAACGCATGTTTCTTGTGAAATAGCTTTAATTAAATTTATTTTAATTTAATCAGGCGGTGAAATCTGGTGGTTCCGATTATGACACTGTCAAGCATGTTGATATGTCTAAGGTAGAAGAGTTTTACTTAAATAATACCGAAGAGCCTTACTTAAATAATACCGAAGAACCTTACTTAAATAATACTGAAGAACCTGTAACTGGACCTGCCGTTTTCAAAAAAGTCATCATACCTTCAATAGATAAGGTAAGTTGATGTTTGAGTACTTATAGTTGGTTTATTTTATTAGCATTACTTACTTATCATTTTATAAATTAGTTACGCTTGAATGCGCCATCCCAAAAGTCCCAGCTCACATTGGATGCCTTGAGAGAGGCTTTCGAAAATGCAGAAATTGAAAATCCTGGTATATCCGAAACATTTATGCATGCTGTTTTTCAAAAATTTGATGAGGTTAATCCTTGAATTAATTAATTGGTCAACGGGGAAGTATCAATTGATATGTGATTTTGGTATTTATGAGATCATCAACGCATTGGTTAACGTTAAGGGAATTAATATAGACATTTTTGTGTAGATATTTATTTATTTGGCTTCTTTTGTCTTATTATTATTTAAGTTTACTGTAACTTTCTTTTAAATTAAACAGATTTCTTGTAGGTTAAATACAATATTGAAGTTTATATGATTTATTAATAAACTAATATTTATTAAATTTACCTAAAACTACCTATTATATTAACACATGCATCGCAGTTTTGGATATCACTATAGTAATTGGTTAACAATTTATTAAAGAATAAATTTTATATACGGTAGTTTGACTTGCGCGAAGTTTATTATACAATGCAGTTTAAACTAACCACTTTATTTTTGTTTTTTTTATTGCATTAGGCGATGTAGTATTGAGATGTATTGTTGTGTTTGAATATTATCTATAATACGTAATTTATAGATTTGGTGATGAAAGAAAGTTAAATTAAGACTTGTTCTTGCAAATCTAGCTTTGTGCTTGATAGCAGCATTATATTGCTTTGTGAGTTTGTTGCAGGTGACTGTTAGAAGGTAGGTATTTTGAATTCTATATGCAGACTAAAGTCTTTGCGAGAGAAATTGTTGCTGTGGCAGATCATACTTGGGCACCTTAAGGCAGTCGAGTGAGTCCAGAATGGTTGAAGGAGAGTACTTTATTATACTTTAGATAGTAATTTACTTTGTAGCACATGTAAGCTTTTCCTTAATAAAATGATAGGCAAGATCGCCAAAAAAAAAAAAAAAAAAAAAGTAAATAGGTTGTCAGACTGCTATTCAATAGGTTTGAAGTTCAAATCCTTCTGTCAATACTTTAAATAATTACTCAAATCTTATACTTAACTTATGATAAACTCTGTTTGTTTTTGAGGTAATAACCCTGTAAATCATATTGCACTAATATTGTTTAGATATTAGAAATGTGACAGAATGTTGAAGTTGCATTATACGAATAAATCAAGATAGGATCTATGAGTAGAGGATCTGCATAGTAGAAATCTCGAGTTAGGTGAAGTAGTACAAATTTTAATAGTTATGCTAGTTAATACTTGATCTAGCAAAGATTTCTAAGTACAAAAATGTAAATTGAGTAGGTACGAGTAAGTCTGTAACATTAGATATTATAGTGATACTAACTTGGCTTGACAGCTAACTAGATTGAGAGGATCTGTTTTGTAAAATATTCGGAAGAACACAGAAGTCTAAACTAGTGAAGAGTCACAGCTAGAACTAGGTTTGTACAAACATTAAATAAAGGTATATATAAGCTAGAATGGGAATATAGCATAGCATAGTTAAGTATCATAATATCTATCTGTTAGGGAGTATTGAAGTGAGACTTATTCAGATAAGACCTAGGCCCATAATAGTAAAGTTTATAACTAATATTAGCTTAGGTGCTTCCTAATATAAAGTAGCACAGAGTTAGAGTTAACTATAATAGTAATACTTTTAGTAAGTAGGATAGGACCAGAGAGTTTAAAATAGGGAATCTTCTAAGAGATTTCAGATATGGTAGCTAGTGTAGAACTTTTGAGTGGACTACTTAAAATAGACAACCTAAAATTATACATGTAGCTAGTTATACTCTCATAATATGTATTACTTCTGAAATTTATAAAATTAATAAAGTTAGCTAATAGTAGGTCTGGTGATCTTAGTGTAGTAGTTAGGTTGCCAAACCGCTATGCAAAAGGTTTGAGGTTCAAATCCCACTGTCGATGAATTTGAATAATTACCTGGACCTTCGTATCCAACTTACAGTAAACTCTGTCCGTTTCTGGAGTTGTAACCCTGTAAATCATGTTGTACCAATATTATCTGAATATTGGAAGTGTGATAGGGCATTTGGTGAGACAAAATGTTACACGAATAAATCTTGATAGGATCTATGAGTAGAGGACCTGCATAGTAGAAATCCTGAGTAGGTGAAGTAGTACAGCTTTCAATAGTCACACTGGCTAATGCTTGATCCAGAAAAGAAACTATAATCAAAAGATGCAGATCGAGTCAGGTAAGCATAAATCTGTTCTACAGTGAGGATTGGTAACACCAACCTGGCTTGGCGGCTAACTAGATTGGGAGGATCTGCCTCGTGAAATATTCAAGAAAATAGAATACAGAAAACTAGTGGAGAGCTACAGTAAAAACTAGGGTTGTATAAACATCTACAAAGGTCTAATCTAGGTGATCCTGTAAAATAGGTACAGGCTGCTCTAGTGTGTTTGCTTCGAGGTTAACTAGCTCTGCAATATTAGCAATATGTCTGGTATAGTGTATCCCAAGAGGACCTAAGCTGACTTGGGTAAATGGATCCGTAACGAGCTAGCTGGCTTAAGCAGTTAGGTGTTGCAGTGACATTAGGTTTGGATCTGTATGGGTTAATGAACAGAATATTTAAATAGATAACTCACAGGTGGGTTACAGGTATAGCAGCATAGTGTAGAACCAATTGGGTGGTCTAATCGCCTATGCGGCGGACTACTTAAATTAGACAATGATTAAAGTTGTATGTGTAGCTTGTTGTACACTCTTCATGTAATTACAAACAATAAGGATTATCAATGTATAATTCTGTATGCAAATACTAATAAAATCTCATTGGCAATATAAGCCACCTTAAACGTAAAAAAAAAAAAAAATAAAGTTAGCCAATAGTATTTATATAAAGTAAAAAAAAAAAAAAAAAAAAAAAAAAAAATTATATATTAACTATATTAGAATTTCTTAGCTAGTTTAAGAGAGTAAGATTTTGTAATCATTTTAAATCTTTTCTATTCTGATCTAACTCTTTGTATTGAATATAGTTAAAATTATCTAATATTATGACTTCTATAGTTTTCTTCTTATTTTGATATTTAAATATTTTTTAATAACTTGTTGCTAAATAATTTTTCTTATCTTAGAGTTACTATGTAGTATATATATTATTAAGATTAACTTTTTTTGTCTTTTGAATACAAAGAGTACTTTTAGATAATATGTATTTCTTTTTTTTACTTAGCTTAAATGTTTCTTCTATTTTTTGTTTATTATTAAATTAAAACTAGAGCCTTTTTTCTTGGTTTTCTCTATATCTAATCATATTCTTAAATAATTATCTCATTCTTTTAAGTTAAAGTTATTTTGTCTTCTTGTTATATTTATTTTATTAATACTAATTATATCAATACTTTTTTTGCTTATCTAATCAATTAGTAACTCTAATTTAGTAAAATTTCTTTTTATTCTATTAATATTATATGATACTATTTTTAGTATTTAAAATTTTTTAACTCTACTTCTTTTATTCTTTTTTTCAAAGGAGTCTTCATATTGCAAATAGTTAGCTCTCTTATCTGTTCTTGTTAATTTAACTAGTATATCTCTTAGAAATAGTTTAGAATCTCCTCTTTATATATTAAATTTTTTTTTTTTGAGATTTTTAATGAGTTAAAGTATATAGTTTAAAGTTTTTTTTTTTTTTTTTTTTTTAAACTTAGATGATCTTACTCTTTATTTTATTAGGCAAATATCTTAAAGATATTTAAACAAATACAAAAAAAAGAAAAAATTTTAGTTTAAAGTATATTTGCCTTATTGCAATTCCAAATTCATTCAGCTGTCTAGATGGTACCCAAGTATGATCTGCTACAGTAGCATAATTTTCCTTCTAAAACTAGATACATGACCAACATGTCTGCCTAGTTTTAATTAATAAAAAGCTACTATCAGCCTATATCAAGACCATCTTAGCTAGACTATTCTATCTTTAATCCTAAATACTACTCTAAGAAAAAAGTAAAATATAATCTAACTAAAGTGAGAAAAAATAAAATTGTATAAGATTTAAGTAGTAATGATCTATACTAAATATCTAGACTATAAAAAAAAACCTTTCACAGATTAAAACAAACTAGACTAGATATAAAAAATAATTAAAAAGAAAAAAAAAGAAAAAAAAAAAACAAGAAAATGAGGTAGTATACTATACTGCTCCTAGTATAGCTCAAGTAAAAATTGTATATAGCTACTCTCCTATGTTTTTCGCTATAACTTATAAAAAGTTTAATCTGCACCTAAAGGAGTTTACTTCAGATCATAATCCAGATAGCTATTCACATGGATTTCTTCTAACATATATCTTAGCTAACACATGTTTGTTTATATATATCTGAATGTAAATAAGCTAATTCTTAATATAGTTTGTCAATTAGCAGATCTTTTAAAGAGGAGTAGCTGATTTCTCCAATTTGCCTCAAAAAACAACAAAGCTGATAAAAGAGAAAATCTAAAAGATATATTCAGTAGAACCTTGCTTGTAGAGTAAATTGTAATAACTGTAAGAGTATGTTACTTTGGAAGAATATAATAATAGAGCAAGTATATGTTTGTTTTCTATAACTAAACAAAAATACTTGATAAAAGCTCCTGGCAATGCCACTTCTATTCAAAAGTTTCTAAATATATAATATGAGCTGCAACTCTAAGACAATATTTTTCAAAAGCTATGAGCTGAACATTTTAATTCTACTGTATTATTAGAAGGAGTTATGTATCCTTTTGTTATATTTTCTATATTTTCACACAGATCAATATTGCTCTATATAGGTTCAAGTGATTGTTAAGAAAAGTATATTGTTAATTGTAATAGTTTAAAGTATTTGTTAATTTTATATTTTGTTTTTAGAATATAATTGAACTAGTAATTATATTATTTATAACTTCTTTTTTTCCTATCATATATTTTTTTTCTCTTTTTTTTGAATATATATTTTTCATTTAGTCTTTTTTAGTTGATTCTTTATTATCCAATATTTTATCTCTATTTAACTCTACTTCTATACTACCTGTTCTCTTAACTATCTTATTACTTTTTCTTTTATAATTACTACTAAATAAGAGTCTTCTACTATCTAATCTTCTATACTTTTCTACTCTTTTAATTGTTTAAC